GGAAATGATCTGTGTTATGAATAACATATTATGGTATATAGGAATCATAAGGTAATGTACATTTGCATATTGTCTATTCTCTTTATCTACCTTCAATCTTAAAGTAGAGTTCTAAAATCTTTTCATGTTTTTTTTTAAGTAAGAGACTGGTTATTATCCTTTCAAGTGCATAAGCACAAAAATATCTCCTAGTAATATCATAGGAGATGATTCATAATATACTTAATTATTTATATTACAATTGACTTGTTTTTCATTTTTTTCGATCATAAAAATAATTTATCTTACTTTATATATGTAATGCAAAAATTGAAGAAATATAGATCATACAACAATTAGTTCATTTTCCAATAATTTCCTTATCGTTATACAAATGGTGAAGTTGATTTGGTTGCTTATACAATACATGTCGCTGAAGGTATCGAGTGTGGCGAAGAGCCTTCTAGGTATAAAAAAATTGTGAATTCAATTAACTCTAATTAGTAGATGATCACTATGCAAGAAGAGATTAGGTCCCTACATAAAAATACAACTTGAGATTTGATAAAATTGCCCCAAAGTAAAAAGTTGTTTGCTACAAATGAGTTTTTGAGAAGAAGGAAGATACACATGGAGTAGATAATGTTTAATATAAGGCTGGGCTTGTTGTAAAGTAATTTAATCAAATTTCATGTGTAAACTTTACAATTGTATTCTCTCTAATCGTCAAACATAACTCAATTCAAACTTTACTTGGCATTGTGGTTAAGCATGATCTTGAGCATTAGGCAATTAGATATAAAGACTGCATTTTTGCATGGAGAGCTTGAAAATGACATCTAAATGCAGCAAGATGAAAGCTTCACATTGATAAGAAAAAAATAAGACTTTATTTATTGGTTGAAGTAATCTATCTACAATTTGAAACATTCTCCAAGACATTAGTATTATTACTCATGATTTTATGAAAAACAATCATAATATTTGTGTTTACCAAAAAAAATAATAAAGAATCAATTATTCATTTATTTTTTATATGTCGATGATATGTTAACAGATGCTAAAGATAAAAAATATGTCAAAAGTTTGAGATAAAAGATTCGGGATTTCCAAAGAAAATAATTGGCATAAGACTTCACAGAGAAAAGAATACTGGTAAATTATTTATAGGTTTGAAAAAGATACATTAAAAAAATTATGTATAAGTTTAATATGCAGCGTGTCAAATCTATTAGTACTCCAATAATTGCATATTTCAGGCTTTCACCCGTTTCATGTTCGTAATCGGATGATGATATTGAATATATGTTTCGAGTTTCATATTCCCGTGTAGTGAGATCTCTCACTTATGTTATGTTTTCATTCATATTTATCATATGAATATCAGCGTTGTTAGTACATATGTGAGTAATCTTGGTAAAATACATTAGAAAGCAGTTAAGTAGAACCTCAGGTATCTATGTGAAACAAAAGAATATTGTTGTGCAATTTTTAGGACTACAGAGAGTTATTGGCTATGTTTTTTCAGATTTTACTGATGATTTTATTAGAAGAAAATCACTTATAAAATACATGTTTAATGTTGGCGATTGTGTTATTAGTTGGTAAGCTACTTTATATACAATAATGACACTATCTATAAATGAAACTAAATACATGATAAGCTCGCAAAAAAAATAAAAATTACTTTGTTTAAAATATCTATTTGAAGAGCTTAACGAAAATTTGAAAAACAACATTTTAATGTTTGATAATTGAACTGTTATTCATCTTAACATAGATCAAATATTTCATGAGAGAACTAAGCACATTAATGTTCATGATCACTTTGCTCGTGATGATGTTATTGTGAGTAAGATTATTACTTATGATAGCCTTGCAAATATGATGTCCAAAAAACTCCAAATTCAAGTTTTTTCATCGATTAAATTTGTATTCATTCATAATCAGTATTCCATACTCGTCAATATTTTTTCAAGATAGAGATTGTGAAATATGATATGAACTTTATGGATCCCACTCATCATCTCATAAGAAAATTGTAACGACATGAGCTCTCAACTTGAAATTTTAGAAATAAAAAAAAATTGTGAACATAAAAATTAAAAAATTTAATTATTAGATCATTTTATAATAAATTTTAAATTATAATAAGTCATTCTTTTATTAACTCTCTTAATTATTTTCTTAAAAAAATCTTGTTAAAACTACATATTTTTATTATGTTTTGTGAAATGACACCCCTACTTATAATCTATTATTTGATATAATAAAATCCTCATGTGCCCGTGATTTTTCCTATCTCGAATTATTTTACATAAAATTTTTATTTCTTTTATTTATTTCATTATTTATTACATCAATTAATATCAAATTCTAAGAATATTATGTCAATTAATTTATTCTTAAGTAGTAATATAATATGTTTATATGATTTGAAAAAAAATGAATGATGTAAATGTAAATATTAAATTTCCAAAGTTAGATATGGAATGAAGTACTTAAGAATTGTAAATGCTCCTAAAATATATAACAAAAATGAGTAGCTTCCAACTAAACTTCCTCTAAAACATCTAACAAAAGATTAAGTTAAATGATAATAGCAGTTTGAACAATGGAAGAAACTTCTTAGATCAATCCACCGAGAATGATAAAATAAAAACTGTCTTTTCAGGCTAATCGAGTTGTTCTGAAGAACGAACATTGTTAATCGAAAAAGACAGCATTGATGAAACAATGAGTTTTAAATGAGTATAGTCAGCTAATTGTGATGATATTTGATGAAATCGAATGACAAGACATCTTTCGTCGCCTCTAAATCTAAAATCATAGAAATTTCGCTTGTATGATGACCAAAGGAAAATATATTGAGATTTTCATATCTATTTTATACTGTTTTTAATGATATTGCACTTTAAAAAAATGTATTTTTGATGTTTTGTTGCAGGTATGAAAAATTATGGTCATTGGAGCAAAAATATGTAAAAAGGAGCGAATTTGGAGCTAAAAGGACCAAAATGTGAAGATTTGAACTAGGGCGCCTACGACGAACTCAACGGCGCCGACTGTGAGATTTTTCCGAGACTCCAGACAAATAATTTAGAAAGCTCGCCGACAGCGCCCTCGAGGCCGCCGACGATGAGATCGGCGTTATGTTCAAATGTGCATTGAATATGGACGATTTTTGGAGGGATGCTTAGGTAAATCTCGGGAAAACTCATCCACATCCTTAATAGAAGACTTTGACCAAAAATAACAAGGGAGAGGCTCAAGAGTTCGAGGAGTTGGAAGGTTAAAACAACGTCAAATAGCCCCAGTAATGTATAGAAAGTCTAATTATGAGGAATTCTTTTAGAGATTGTAAGAGTGGAGGAAAATTGAGAGATTTCTTCCTTCTTGCCGCTTCGAAGAGGAATTTTGTGTGCTGTAAAGAAAGGAAGAGATTCAGAGGAACTTCGAGGAATTTGCTTGGGGAGGAATTAAAGATAAGTGCTATTTACTTGTTGTAGTTTGTATGACTTTGTTTTTATATATGAATTCCGAGTTTTGTTGTGTCTTCCCTATGAGTTTTGAATAATTTTCTGTCTTTCTCATTGTCTTGAAATTTGTGAAATTGTGATTTAAATTTGTTGAATCATGAAAATGTTAAAGAAGTTATGATGATCTTTTCACTTCAATCTTAATTTGCTTTCAATCTGGTCAATTAATTTGTTAAAATATGTTGAGTTTTACAACTAATGTGAAGATTACATCCTAGATTTAGGGAGGTCAAAGCCCTTGGAAGTTGGGTGCAAATAAATAGGGAAATAAAAATATCGGACGTAGAATTAGAGATTTTAGAGTGACAGACTAAAATCTCCAATTCGGTCCTATCGTTTGGGTGCTAAAGTGTAGATGTTAACCCTCAGACGAGGGGAACGTAAGAGCTCTGAAGTGAAAGCCGGTATCCTCCCAGCCTCCCAGCCTAGTATCCTCCCAGCCTAGTCGTAGATTCAGTAAACAAGCGTAAGATTAGTCAATGTTTTTTATGTCTGGACCAAAGGGTAAAGAATAGGTACGCTCATATTTGACATAATACAATTTGAAGTGATTCACTTTATCCATACACTATAATTTTTTGACAAGTAAAAGAATGCTTTATTATATATTGAATATCACATTAAAAATTTTGTTAGTATAATTAATTATTTAAGAGTTATTAAAATTACATATTTATTTCAATTGTCTATTAGTGACATATAAGCAATTTAAATTATATTGTTGTGATTAAGTATTGATTTTCTAAAATCTTAGTTCGTAGTTCTAATATTACTCCTTATTGGATCGATATCTAGGACTCCATTAGAGCCCTATATTACTTGAGTGATACATATACTTGCATTGATAAGTGTGACTTTACCATTATTAAATATTTTATATATACATCTTTATCGAATCTATAACCATTGTTAAGTTTTTGGTGTTGTTGCTGAGGAATTAAATCTTTAACAACAGTATTAAATATTTGTATTTTTAAGCATCTATAAAGTCACTGTCATATTGTAGCAAATTGAGCATGATCTGAATTTAGTTTTGTATAAAAGAAATATATCAGCATGAATATCGAGAAAACGTTACGGCCCGGTAAAGAAGTCTTGCTAATGGTAGAAACAATCGATAGAATTTCAAATCGGAACTGATCCGCTCGTTACAATTCGGATTCAACAAATGGATATAATTAATTAACTCATTTGATGGAAGACCAATGTTTATGAATGGGTAACAAGAGATGGAACGAAAATCTAACCCATATCTACTTCAATTACTCTTACAGTCAGACAAGTTCATCTTGGTTAAAGAGTATTTTAAGATCAAATTCCTCTTCAGCAAGCTGCTAGCATAGAAAAGAGTTTCATATAGAGGGCAAATTCAGGAACCGTAAATGCAAAACTCAACAATGATCCGCTTCTAATCTTATTAAGAACCCCAATATCATATAACATGCGAAGCATAAAACCAAGCTTTCTGGAAACCATAAAATCTTTAGTAACAGTATCATAAGCAATTAAAAAGCGATTGGAAACAAAGCAGATCACAAAGATTCAATCTCAGACCAATCCCTAGACACAACCCCAACACACTTTGCAAAGACAGTAAAGCAAACCCTAAAAATTCAGATGAACTAAATCAATTCACGCAATCTTGACCTCGATTGTCTTGGGCTTCTTAGGCTCGGGCGGCGGCAGCTTCTGCACGGTAACCGTCAGAACACCATCACGGCTGACAGCCGTTATGGCTTCGAGATTGGAGTCATCCGGTAGAGAGAACTTGCGCAGAAATTCCCCTACCCGTCGTTCCAATCGAAGGTAACTTACGCCGTCTTCGGCCTCCCGGCGCCGCTCACCTGTAATGGCGAGCACGTTACCTTCCTCTACCTGAACCTTTATATCGCCAGATTTCACTCCAGGCATATCTAGGATGAACTCGTAGGCCGTCGGCTTCTCCCTCACGTCAGCCGGCGTGGAAGCAATCGCCCGCGCGTCTCGAACATACTTCTTCGTCGGAGCGTTGAAGGCCTTCTCCATTTCTTCCGGCAGATCTACCAAACTTTGCAGTGCGTGGAAAAGGGGGTTTTCCAATCTGAAAACTCTAGCATCCATTTTCAGCTTGCCCTGTATCTCTCCCTCTTGCTCTCGCTTCTAATTTTCCTCTGCTTGAGCTTGCGGTGACAGGGGAATATATAGGGGGAAGATGGGGGCGGGCAATTGGAGCCATGCGGGAGTGGAGAGTGCGCGAAGCTTCTATTGGGTTCTGGAAGGAACCCGATAGCTCGAAAGTGAAGCTTCAGAGAACATCGGCACGGTATTTACAAGCATACCATCGAAAGTATGGAATATGTATTTTCTTTTGAAATTTAACGGTTCTTTTGATTTGATAAGTATTTCGAGGGGTATAAATAAAAAAAAAAAAAAATTAGATGTCTGAATAAGAAATGAAAATACATAAGAGTTGAGTGGATCTTAACGCCCCTTCAAAATAATCAATTCTTTTCTATGTAATATTATAAGCTCTAAATATTTTTAAACTGTATCCATGATCATTTAAATAAACCGTGTTCTGACAGCTTATTCGTATTTTTAATTCCTTGAAATCAGTTTATTTACACCGTTCCTGATTGGTTGCGGTAGCAGCTTTCGTTGTGGTCTGACTTTATATATATTTATAATAATAATCTCTGTAATTTTTTGAATAACAGATTATTTTTAAACATCTTATTAATAAGCTCCAATTCCTACAAACAGACCCCAGCAGTCTACTTTGTAATGTGCTCTCATTTTACCCTTTGCCCCACCTGTCACTTCCTCTCACTCCCTTGGATGTCTTGCAATGTTGAGCATGGGGTTTTCTAGAGGGAGACATTCTCTATTGGTTGAGATATTAATTTTGATAAGGCTAGTTAGATGTTATGCATGAAAAAACATTAATTTTAGTTGTTTGATATATAGTTACGAAAAATATATATATATTAACGAGTTGATCAATACTCATTGTTTCTACCATTTAGAAGGCTTCTTTATCAGACCGTAAGATTTTCTCAACATTCATGCTGATATGTTTCTTTTATATAAAATTAAATGCAGATCATGCCCAAGTTGCTACAATATAAGCGACGTGTCTCTGGTTTTAGATTTAGAGGTCAAGAAAGATGTTCTTGCGGTTCTTTAGAGGCCATAAACATATGATGCCATTGACGTGGCCATTGGCGACAGAAGAGAAGAAGAGGAGGAAGGGGAGGAGGTGATGGAGGTGACGGAAAGGGAGTGGGAGGAGCCCGTGGCGGGAGAAAGGGACGTAGAGCAGATGCCCTTCTTAAGATCCCAAACGGCGACCGAATCGAGCGCTCTAGCGAGAAGGTGTTTGCCAGAACTATCGTAGGAGATGTTGGAGTCTAAGAATACGATGACACCGAAAACCAGATGGGGCTCGTATCAGAGGTAAGCTTTCACCATTGTGCCGACGAAACCGTGTGCGAGACATTTTTTTTATCTGTAGTTGCGGATGAAACACCGGCTTAAGGAATTGATCAAAAAGTCGGAGAATGCGAATCTGGATGCGACATCAGCGGTTGAGTGCTTACTGTGATGGTGGAGAAGAAGCCTCTTCTAGAGCCAAAGAAACCAAATAACATCGATCGAGGTTCGTTGATTATCATGTGTTCGATGAAAGAAGATGTTTTGCGTGGGAGATTTGGGGCTTAGGATTTGTCTGAACCCTAAATAGTTTTGAGAGATGACAATATAAAACGAGTATTTTGAAGAAATTTGGGCCATTTACATATATATGCAAAGAGAAATACATCTTTTCTTATATAGGTAAAATGTCATGAAGTGATATGCTTGTAAATCTTCCCTATTTTTTTTAGAAATTAATCTGTCTATTTATTTTATTTTATTTATTAATATAATATTTTAATTAATATAATATTTTAATAAAGTATATAAATAGGGATTAATATTTTAATATTTTAATATAATATAATATTTTAATTAATATAATATTTTAATAAAGTATATAAATAGGGATTAATATTTTAATATTTTAATATAATATAATATTTTAATTAATATAATATTTTAATTAATATAATATTTTAATAAAGTATTTGAATGCAAAACTCAACAATAAATATATACTTTATTAAAATATTATATTAATAAATAAATTAAATTAAATAGACAGATTAATTTCTAAAAAAATAGGGAAACCTGGCCTGATTCGCTGAACCCTAAACCCTAATTCGCCCGATGGGGTCGGCGGCGATCTGTTTTCGCCCGATTGGAAACCTGGCCTGATTCGCTGAACCCTAAACCCTAATTCGCCCCTCAATCCAGCCTCTCGTGCTCGACGACGAAGTTCTCGTATTCGACGACGACTACGAAGCAGTTTGCGCTCGTCAATCTTCTTCGCGATCGTCCTCTTCTCTTTCGCGCCCAACGAGTCCTCGGCGTCTTCCTGCTGCGGTTTCGTGTCTGTCGAGCTGCGGTTCGTAGGATTGCTGCGGTTTCGTCTTCCTGCTGCGGTGTCGCCTCAGCTGCGGTCTGTCTGTCGATTGCCAATGTCGCATCCAGGTTCGCATTCTCCGGCAATGGAAACTTTCTCATAAATTCCTCCCTCCAGCGTTCCATTCTCTACTACAGATAAAAAAATAGTCTCGCACACGCTTTCGCCGGCACAATGGTGAAAGCTTACCTCCGATACGAGCCCCGTCTGGTCTTTGGTGTCATCGTCTCCGTAGACTCCAACATTTCCTACGATAGTTCTGGCAAGCACCTTCTCGCTGGCGCCCTCGATTCGGTCGCCGTTTGGGACCTTAAGAAGGGCCTCTGCTCTGCGTCCCTTTCTCCCTCCTCGGGCTCCTCACACTCCCTTGCCGTCACCTCCATCGCCTCCTCCTCTTCCACCTCTTCTTCCTCTTCCGTCGCCAGTGGCCACGCCAATGGTACCATACGTTTATGGGACCTCAGCAGAGGTACTTGTGAGGCAGCAATGAACGGGCACGAATCTGCTGTCACTGCTCTGCGCTATAGTAACCTCGGCTCGCTCCTGGCCTCCGGAAGTAAGGACTGCGACATAATGCTCTGGGATGTCGTCGCGGAGAACGGGATGTTTCGCCTCAAGGGTCACCGAGATCAGGTTAACTTCTCAACTATTTCCAATTTGTCCATCTTATTGAAAAATGTTGCTTGGTTTTTTTCATTACACCCACTGGCAATTATTAGGTAACAGATCTTGCGTTCCTTGACTCCGATAAAAAGTTAGTGAGCTGCTCGAAAGACAAGTTTGTTAGGGTATGGGATCTCGAGATGCAGCATTGCGTTCAAATTGTGAGCGGGCACCAAAGTGAGGTCTGGTCATTGGATGTTGATCCAAATGAGAGGTTTTTGGTAACTGGGTCGGCTGACCTTGAACTTCGCTTTTTCCTGATAAGGAAGGATATGGACAATTCTATCAAATGGGACGTTTTGAAGCATTATGGGGAAATCAAGCGTCAGAGCAAGGATAGAATTGCCACTGTAAGGTTTAGCAAGTCCGGTAGCCTTCTTGCTTGCCAAGAAGCAGGGATGACTGTTGAGATATATCGTGTTTTGGATGAATCCAATGCTAAAAGCAAGGCTAAAAGACGTGTAAGAAGGAAGAAAGAAAAACTCTTGGCTAAGGCATTGGTAGAGGGAAATGAAAATGGGGATTTGGATTCTTTACAGAATGTTTCAGGTGTGACAGCTTTATCGCCAGATGTTTTAGTTTCAGATGTGTTTAAACGCTTACATGTCCTACGTGCAAGCAGGAAAATTTGTTCCATTGCTTTCTGTCCTACGGTTAGCACTAAAGGCGTTGTTGGCACTTTGTCCTTGTCATTAAACAATAATATGTTGGAGACCTACTCCATTGAGGAGGGAAAAGTTGAAAAGAAACATACAGTGGAGCTTCTTGGTCATCGGTCTGATATAAGAAGTGTCACGTTGAGCTCAGACAACACTCTTTTGCTGTCAACCAGTCATAATGCAGTGAAGGTGTGGAATCCTAGTACTGGTGCTTGCATTCGAACCATTGAGTCTGGTTATGGTTTGTGCTGTGCCTTTGCTCCTGCTGACCGTCATGCACTTGTTGGAACAAAGCGTGGAACCTTGGAGATCATTGATGTTGGAAGTGGTACCCGTGCTGATGTTATTGAAGCTCACTCTGCTGCTATCCGGTCCATTGTGCCAATACCAGACGACAATGGTTCTGTTGGGAGTGGCTTTGTCACTGGAAGTGCTGATAAAGATGTCAAGTTTTGGGAATACCAGTTAAAGAGGAAACCTGAGACAGTGAGTTTCAGTTTATGGTTTATTCCTGTTGATGCATCCCCACATTTTTTCTTTGAAAAATAAGAATTATTTGAAATTAGACCATATTTATTTGAGAAATTTTTTATCGATATTCTGTTTTCGTTATCATTAGTTTGACCTCTAACAAGTGTGGGTGCCTTGGAGTAAGCCATAACAAACTAAATATTTCCTACAATTTTGCTATCACAAAATGCAATTGTCCATCTTCCCAAAAAAAAGTTTCTTTTTTTTATAATTTGCTTTCATTTTCAGTATTGTGCCATTATATGTTAATGCGATAACTAATGAATTTGTTACTGTGTTTTTTATCAGGATTCTAAGCAGTTGACTGTGAAGAATGTAAAAACTTTGAACATGAACGACGATGTTCTTGTGGTCTCAATTAGTCAAGAAGGGAAGTACCTTGCTGTTGCTTTGTTAGATTGCACTGTCCAGGTTTGTTTGCATTGTTTCAATTCTTTTTTTTGTTCCATTTTGGCTTTTTCTCATATCTGTTTTAAGGCATTTGCATTAGATCTTTATTAAATGATAGAATTTTGTTATGGACATTGTTGTTTCCGATGGTCTATAAATTCTTTTTTTTTTTCTAGAACTGTAACAACTTAAAGGAAGAAATTTTAGATGTGATTGCTTTTTCCCTAAATATTTTTTCGACATCCCTATCAATTTTTGCATAGATGTCCAATTAAAACAAGCATCAATGCCAGTCCAAAGCTTAGATGACAAATTTTGATGGTTGATATTTAGTTGACGACCAATATTAAAGTTATGGCAAATTGATTGTATTATTACAAATTTAAATTTTGCTAGCGCCAAAGTGCTCCTTAAAACAATGTGCCATGATCCAACCTATTTGCAATGTGAAGTTGATGAGTGATTAGTATTATGAACCCATTAATAATGTATATCAACTTAATGAGTACGATGAAAATTAGGCAAGATTTTGCTAAATTGTCTCCACCAAAACACTACAATTTTGTTTGACCACAGCAAAAAAATAAGCAATAATTGTTGAGATTCAAAGGTAAAACTAGTTTTTGGTTTATATTTACTTTGAAAATTGAATGAGAAGTGAAAAGAAGCAGTGAATACTACAAATATTTTTTTTGTTTAAAATCAGGATTAGCTTATTTGAAAATTGAGAATGTTGAATGTGGTATAATAATTAGAAGGATGATATATACTATTGTTGTAGGACATAATGATTAGAAGCAACATAAATATTGCTTTTTTGCAACAAAACAAAAAGCCTAACTGGAAAAGGTAAAAATCCAACTTCATTGGATTAGATAAAGTTTAATATATTTTTGAAATGTTAATAGTAAAATGATGGTTGAAATTGTAGTGAATAGGAGTTAAAATTTAAAATTATTAAAGTGTGCAAGTTAATGATAGTGTAATCTTAATTATGTTAATTATAACTGTGTAAATTGAAAATGTTATTAATATTTATGCTCCTTAAGTTGGGTAGAAAATAGTAAAAATTAAATTTGGGAAGTGATGAATAATTTATCATAACATATAGCTTAGTGAGAAAAGGATTTTTATTGAGGGTGATTTTATTGTACATATAAGTTAGGGTAGGATGATTTATGGGAGGATTTATGGTGAATGTTGAATAAGAGTTTAAAGTGGAATGGGAAAGCTATATTTGATTTTATAAATTCTTGATATCTTATATTAGTGAAATATGTATTAAGAAATATGAAGAGATTTTAAATATTTTAGAAAATAGAGCCATTTAACCATAAATAAGACTTCTTTTCAGTGAGAATCAAATAAAAATCTATTTATAAATGTTATAATTCAAATTTTGGAGTCAGTTTGACCACATAATGTATTATTCCATTTATAGGTTTAAATTTAAGAGCATAAGCAACACATAAAAATAAATAGATACCCTTAAATAGACTAAAAAAAATGAAAGTTGAAAAATTAATCATTTCTACATGATAGATTGCTAAGAGAATTATATTAGAATTCTTGTGTTGATTCAAATCCTATGTGAATCATATTACTAATTTTATGAAATAGATTGTTGTTTGTAGAAGTTTTAGAGGAGTCTATAAATAGATAATATACTAATTTTCAAACTTGGTGGTGGAGTGAGGAGGTATTTAAAATTATTGAGGAAATGAGATGCGCCTTCAAACAACAACAACAACAACAACAACTATTTCTCACTAATGGGGGTAAACTATATGAATTTTTTTTCCTCCATTGACTTAATGAGTGTCATATTTTCATTTAATTCTAATAAATTAAAATAATTTTTTATATAATATGCCCAAGCCTTTTTCGGTTTATCTCTAGCTTTCTTAACATAAGTCAAATCTAAAACATCTACTCTCCTAACTAGGTCATCAGATGGTCGACATTTATTGTGACCAAACCATCTAAGGCTACTCTCTCAATTTAGAAATAAGAAAGCTAAAAATATTCCAAACATGATAGTAAGTATGTTAAAAGTTGTAATTTTTAATGATTTATGTAATGTTTTTGATACTAACAACAACGACGACAACAAGCCTTTATCCCATTTAGTATGGTCACCTACATGAATTCTTCTCTCCATTGCGTTCTATTGAGTGTCATATTTTCATTTAATTCAAATAAAATAATATAATTTTTTATAGAACATGCCCAAGTTTTTGTAAGTCTACCTCTACTTAACATAAGTCAAATCTAAAACATTTACTCTCCTAACCGTGTCATCATATGGTTGACGTTTAGGGCATGTTTAGGATCACCTTTTAAATATGATTTACGTCTGAATTTAACGTAAATTCAATCAAATGCAAAAAATAAAGTAGCTAAATCCAACGCTTTGTCAAATCCAGTTTTCTCTCCATTTCTTCTTTTTTTATGAAAATTTGATTTACTAAATCTAATGATTAAGTGGATTTAACGAATTTTTCTTAGGAAGAAAACAAGTTAGATGGATTTATGCCAAACACATCAAACATATTTAGAGTATGTTTGGTGCTGCATTGCGGTGGCTATGCGGTGTCGCACCGTAGTTTTTTCTGTTTGACAAAATTGTGTTTTGTCTGCATTCTCAAAAAGCTGCTGCTGAAAGCTGCATTTTTTCACCAGTTCTGGCTTCCTACGCACCTGCTAGAAAGCTATGGCCTGACTTTTTCATTTTTTTTGTGACAGTCATTGCAGTTTTTTAACAACAACTTCTTCAATAGTTTTACAGCTGCTTCTTCAAACATCTGCAGCTGCCCTAAACATATGGAGTTGACCAAATGATAATAGGAAAAATAAATAGTATTACTGAAATCAAATAGGGAATTACAACCAGATAATTAAAATAGGAAATAACAATAAACACAACACACAAACTCAACTAAGGTTGTATCCCAAAAGGTTGGTAATCAAATATGTGGGTTGGAAGGCGCTCGGTGGATTGGAAGTGGTGGTAGGTGGTCGAATGGGTGGGATGAGGTGTTGGACGGTGGCAGTTGCAGCAGGAGGGGTTTCAATGTGGTGGGTGAAGGGCGTCAGTTGGCTGGAAAAGCTGCAGACTGCATGAAACGACATGAGATGGGTGGCAACAGGCAAAGATGGCTAGTTAAACAAGGCAACTACAATGCAGGATGGTGAGGGGTGGTTGGGAAGGTTGATGGTTGCATGAAAAACCAACGATGGCAACAAAGAGAAAGGGTTGGAACATCAGCGACAGTGAAGATGTAGGGCGGGAACAACATTGACAGCGAAGCGGAAGGGTTGAAACAACTGTGGCTGCAAAAATGGAGGGTTGGGGCAATGATGATAGCGAAGTGGAGTGAGGGGAAAGGCGATGACGGTTGTTGGAACTGCAGAAAAAACAACCTTGAACGACTATTTGGGTCGTTACAACAAAGACGAGTGATAGGGAGTGATGTGGAAACTTTGCTGAGGGGTAGAGGAAGGATCATCACCATCTCAGGAGCGAGATACTGTTGGAGCATCAATCGACCCTCAGATACAACCATATAAGAGAGAAACGAAAATGCTGACGGCTGTCCCGAGCGAAAATAATGACAAAATTTCGACATAAACACAATAAAAGTAAATAAATAACACGAGGGTAATTAGGAGTGGGCCCTCTCTCACATGGAGGTGGTAATCTCATGCTGGGTCAGTTGGTTGGCCCTCAAATTCTTCTTCTGATTAGGTCCACATTGCCAGAAGAGAGCTATGTCATGTCTAGACACGGGAGACATCTAGCTTACGTCTTGTCCAATTTTGACGAGGGAGACACTCGCATCATGAAAATTAAAAGTATTTAAATAGAGAAGATGTAGTTTTTATTGATTGTGAGAAGACATGATTATCATGAGAATTGGTTTTTGTTTACGCTATGGAAGAAAAAGTCTGTCAAAGCTATGATGTTAAAAGAACTTAAAATTACAACAGATTACGAACATTATTAATATTGACTTCAATTTTTTTTTAACTGAGTTCAAATTTCTTGTAGTGGTTATAGGGATTCCTTCAATTATGTTTTTCTGAGATAAAGTAGTTCTAATCTATGAAACATCTACTAAAATAAATTAAAAATTAGAACGTTTGAAACTATGTTTACAAGTTTGAGAACCTAAAATTAATAGATTAAAAGTCGGATATATGATATGTAATCATTGTTTTAAAAGGCGCGAGCGTTGGAAGGGGCGTTTTAGCTGTTACGGTAATTCCCAAAGCGCTAGATGTAAACCTCACAATCTAAAAAATATTATTAGTATTAAGAGATAAAAAATAAACTAGTGTTTAATAAAAAAATTATCAAGATACATTAAAATAACTTACTCATTCAATTTCAGAAAAAGTTTTTTAAGATTGGAATCCTCTAGATATTAACATAAATTCACCACAAAAAGTAAGAACATATAAGAGTAAGTAAGTATGCTTCAGCCAAAAAAATAAATTTATGCTCAATTGATCTCAATTCTTGAATGTTATTCATCTTCAAGTTCATTCTCAAAATTTTCTTCTTCATCAGTAGCTATGTCCAAATCACAACTACGTTTTGTATATTGTTGCATTTATTATCCACTTCATTAAAGAATCAATATTATGCTCAATCTTTGTTGCTATTACAATTTATTTTTTCTTATAATTATTTTTTAAATTATAAAAACAAACAAAATGACATAAATATTTATGATTTTTTCTATTATAATTCATAATTATGTAGATGACAATTAAATGTAAATATAAAACTTGTTCTTTCATTCAACTTCATTGGTTAAAGGGAATATGCTATAAAAATATTATTTCTTCATTATGTAATATTTTATTATTTTTCAGCTGCAATAGTTACGAGTACATTTTTTATTACATCAACATCTAATACTTGTTTTTTTTCATTCACCCAAGAAGGTTCCTGTGGAAGCACTGAATCTTCTTTCTCAACAATCCAATCATCATCATAGTGTATGTCATTTATCAATATTGGATTGAAGTCTTATCTTCTTTTTATATTTCTCTCACTCAATCTAGCATTATATCTTACTTACACTTTAGTATTCAATTTCTTGTGCTCTAACATGTTCATCTGTTTAGTATGAATCTAAAATAAAAAAATATTATTTTTAAGAGGTGATATATGAAACAACAACAACAACAACAACAACAACAACAACAACAAAGCCTTAATCCATAATCCAACTATGTGGGGTCGACTACATGAATCCTTTTTCTCCATTGCTTTTTATTTAGTGTCATATTTTCATGGTGATATATGAAAGTAAATAATAAATTTTATGAAATAAAAAATTACTACCGATTCATAAGTGCTCCGATTTCTTTCATAAACCCTATTAACTGCAGGTGAGGCTAAGAAATCAAATAGCAAAACTTGTTAACTCAGGTAATTTTCCACCAGATCTTATCCACCAATCAACATGAGATCTTAATTCTCTTGAGTATAAAAACCTTACTCCCAAAGTCTCATCTTAAGTTATCATACAACTCTAGTTGAATATTAACTGTAAGACGATCTTCATAATCCAACATTCTTTTTATACAAGTAATTAACCTTTGTATACTTCATCATTAGATAAATTAACTTTTAAAGCCAAATTGAGGGTTTAAATAATAAGCAACGCATCCAGCAATTTATAAAGTTGAATATCTCATATTGCATCATTTTTTTTCCAAATAGGTTCATACTTCTTTTTATCATACCCACAATTAAAAGTAATTGTTTTCTTTGCTGAATCCATTAACTCATATAACCCATGTCTGACCCTTTTTTTTTTTTAGTTAAACTCTCTTAGAATTTTTACAGGAGGCACAACACTTTTGATGTGGTAGCAAGATGACCCAAAACATATGGATCGAACAAAATAACAACTCTAGCTGTTTTTTTTTTTGTCTTTTTAGCCCATTGATCGGAACACCAATCTTCAAAGGAGGATAATGCCCTAAATGGTTGCTTCTGCTTGTAAATGTTTTGAAAGGTAAAAAATGCATTAGTAAACCTTGTGATTGTTGGACGAACGAATTCCCCCTTCTTTGTAAAAGATCTTATCAAGCTAAGAATCCATGTGTGTTCATTAATGAATTTAACAACTTGTTTTGCTTTTGTAAATGTTTTTTCGGGAATTTTCAACTTTTCAATTTCTTCTAACATGAGGTCATTACATTGTGCCGCACAAGGTGTCCAATAAATATGTTGTATTTTTTCATTATTTTTTTATGCATTCATATAATTTAACTCGTTATCTGTTATAATTTGTGCCATATTTTTTTCTCCTATTTCCTCAATCATGTCATTTAAATAAGAGATTAACAACTCGCAACTCTTTATACCATTAAATGATTAGAAGCATCCACAGATTTAAGAACAAAATCCCAGCTCGATTTTTAATAAGAAAATTAATCAAAGTCTTACTTTTTCATCTGTCCAAATAACTAACATAATTGAGCGTCCATATTTACTCAGTATCTTCTTATGCTCTTCTAATATCTTATTGGTTGTATTGTAGCAGCTTCATATTTGAGTATCCAAGTTCGTCATTCATGCATTGTAAGTGGAGTAAAATCAAGTTCAATGTTAGCAAGTGCTTGAAAAGTAGACATATAATATGATCAACATTAAATGCCAATCCGACCGAGTAACAAATTCTTCCAATTGCCGTATATGTTTATTTTCTTTCATCTCTTTCCACTTGGAATTTAGAGCAAAATTCCTGGCTTATGTTGTGGTGAAAGAATCTATTGGATCTCTAACTTTGTGTCTTCTAAGAGGAGTTCAATAATGATGAATTATTGACATTTTGATCTTCACAAGCATTTGTTGCACTACTTCTAATGTCACTTAATACACTGTCATGTTATGCTTTGACTTTTGCATTTTCTTCTAATATTTTCTTGCATTTCTCTTGAACTTCAGTGGAGTTTTGGTGCCCTTGATTGTGTCGACAAAATGTTGTTTCATGTTGTTTATTGTTCCACTGCACACTTGATTGCAAAACTTACATATGCAATACTGTTCATTTGGTGTGCTTATTGTATATTTTTATGCAAAGTCCTTGCTCGTGCGACTACTATCTGTCACACAATCCCCCATTCCATTAAAAATTAATAACTAACAACACACATAAAATTTAAAAAATATATAAGATCAAAATCAATGCAGGATTTTACTGTAGCTACAGTGAAATATGCGATTAATTCCTTATAAAACATTAAAACTTGTGTGCTTAGTGCTTACAAAATAAAATCCGACCTGGTTAGATGAGCAGATGCTGCATGTGAAAGTGCTGGATCTTTTGCTGGCCACACTACATGTGGGAGGAAGCGACGGCGGGATTGTCTGCTATGGGAAAAAGCGGCTTTTGGGATCGTCTGTTGCGAGATAGACGCCGACTGATTCTTTTGTTGTGGAAGGCCTTCTGTTATGGGAGAAATGTGCGATTCAAGTATGTATGGGAAATTAGGATTTTGTTTCCTTTTAATTTAACCCATGCTTGGGGTGTACAGCCCCGTGGGCTGCAAACTAGGCTCGTGGACGTCAAACATGTGTTGATAGTTAAACATTTTTGATCTTTATATAGACTAATAGAATATAGATGAGGATATAATATCCAGAGTTAAGGCCCCATGGCAAGTGATGATGGTGATGACCTATAACTAGCTAATATATTTCTATATATCTATCATTTTTATCAATGTTGTTTTTGTAGGAGATGCGTTTTACTTGTAGTTTAATCCATATATCTAAAACATATCTGCAGGTTTATTTGTTGAATACTTTGAAGAAATTTCTTACACTATATGGTCACAAGTTGCCGGTGCTCTGCATGGACATTTCATCAGATGGAGATCTAATTGTTACCGGTTCTGCAGACAAAAATTTGAAGATTTGGGGTTTAGACTTTGGTGACTGCCACAAATCCTTATTTGCCCATGCTGACAGGTCTTTAGACTCTCACTAAACTAAATCATTTTAACTTTTAAGTCTGTTAATGAAAGCACATTTGAGCTTTTTTTTTTCTTTACAGCGTTATGGATGTGAAGTTTGTACATAATACACATTACATGTTTAGCGTGGGGAAAGATCGACTTGTTAAGTATTGGGATGCTGATAAGTTTGAGCTGCTTTTAACTCTGGAGGGGCATCATGCTGAAATTTGGTGCCTCACAATTAGTACACATGGCGGTTTCTTCATCACCGGATCCCATGATCGTTCCATCCGTCGATGGGATCGGACTGAAGAACCTTTTTTTCCTGAGGTAATTTACTTCCATTTTTGGTCTGATTATTTTTTGTCATTTGCTGAATTTTATAATTTTAGATTGTAAGTTTGTTTGTCATTTGGCTAATAGCCACTTGTTTAACTTTTCAATGTGCAGGAGGAAAGAGAGAAAAGGCTACAAGAGATGTTTGAATCCGATTTGGAAACAACTGAAAGTAAATATGCACTAAGAGAAGAATTTTCGGAGGACGGATCAGTTGGTGTGCCGGGAAAGAAAACTCAGGAAACAATCACTGCAGCCGACATGATTATTGATGCTTTAGATACAGCTCAGGACGAATTAAAACGCTATGATCAGTTCAATGTATGCTTCTTTATTTTCACTTTCTCATTCTTTAGAAATTTTTATGTTTGATTTATAACATTTCTAAAGAAACTTTATGTAGCTTGAGTACATGTCCATATCCTAGCTTGCGGTGAAGTCATATTTGTATAAGCTGCTGCGATAAATATTTATTTGAAAATGTTTTTGATTTACTTTGAATTTCCTTACCGTAGTTGTAGGGTATCTTTTTTGATAATCGTTATAAAAGAGCACAATAATAGAATAACGGTGTATATCGTAGAACGATGTCAAATGGAGTATGTTCTAAAAAAATATTTGTTTTTTACATATGCAGGTGGACCGACAAAATGGAAAATCTGGTCAATTCCAGCCTAATGTTATAATGAGTGGACTCTCTCCTTCTGACTATGTTCTACATTCAATTTCCAATGTTCATACCAGTGACCTAGAGCAGACTCTACTGGTTTGTGATAATTTTGCTTGATTCAATTTTTCTTTACTCATTAAATTCATGGAAGCGCACTTCTTATTAAGCTAATTAAGCTGTTCAAGCTATTGCATCGTAATATTAAAATCATAGTTGTATGCTTGTGACTGCATGTTCTACATAAATATATCATTAAGGCTCATGTATTCTCTTTCTACTTAAAGAGTAAGAAATTTTATTGTATGGTTGTAAAGAATTTGGATGTGCGTGCATCTTATGGACTTGTTCAGGAAAATGCTATGTTGTTTACGAGCTGTCTGTTGACCTTTAGTTTGATCTCTTGAATTGGTTTTGTTGATATTTAGTATTTCCTTGTAACTAAAGATGCGGTTAAGTTCCACTATCGCTCCAGATCCAAAACTAAGTATCCCTTTTTGCTTTAAAACAGTTCCCGTCCTCATAACCTATTATTCTCTTAATCATTTCCTTGTGTTCATTACAGATGTGGATTTTCTATACATTTCCATATTCTGTTTTACCTTTGGGCTGGGTTCTACTTGCATATCTCATTTCGTTTGTCACTTCATGTCAGCGTAATGGACAAAGGAAATGCACTCAGCACTGCAGTAATTTTATTGACAATCTTCTTGATAGCTGATGTGGATTGGGTTATTTTTTTTTCTTTTCTGCTTTACATCAAATATTATTTTTTAAATCCCACTTATTTTGAAAGCTACTACTGATGTGGATTGGGTTATTTTGTTTTCTTTTCTGCTTTACATCAAATATTATCTTTTAAAGCCCACTTATGTTGAAAACTACTACTCTCCCACATCCAGATTTTTGCATGCACATGCGCGCACACAAATTTATTTTTCACAAGTAGTTTTGAATAATGTTTGCTCTTTCTTTTCTAATTTCTTAACATTAATTTTTGCTCAGCATTCAAATCCATACAACTTTGTGGGCCCAATGTCAATTTAACACAATTTCCCTTTAAGCATCTATGATATCCATATCCTTTTATCATATAAAAATTATTGAGTCATTTCTCTATTTTAACCATTTCACCCCAACTTAAAAGGGTATTTTCTTATCTATAGCTATGTTCTTCTATATAATAAATTCAAGATGCTTAAATCTTTCACATCGGAATAGTATCTTATTTTTGATAATAAAGATTGATAGTTTTTAATATCATGCATTAATAAAATTAAATATAATATCTTAGTTTTTTTTAATAACTTTATGGTCTCTATATTTTAAGTATTTTCCCCTTTATTCTATTATTCAATTATTTTTGCATATATAACTCAACAATTTTTTTCTCTATATTTAGCACAATCTTGAATATCAAATTTTATATTAAATGTTGGTATCGAAGTACTTCTTTAATAAATTTAACATTTTTTGTCTTCAAAATTCTATTGAAAAAATATGTTGACTAAGTCACAAGAACTTTGTCAGAACTCTTCAAGTCTCTACATTTTATAACCATTTTATAGCCAACTTTATTCTACTTTTTGGACCAAAACCCCCTCGTTCCTCTATAATTCTGTCTTTCCAAGCCATTGAACCCACTCTTCCTATATATTGATCTACCTGTCACCTCCCAAAAGAGCCCTTAAGGGTGGTGGGCAGCCCAGGACTTAAATACTGCTTTTCGGCCCTACACCTAGCCAATGTGGGACTATTTGTCCGTGACATTCTCCTCCACCCAATCACGTGACGCCCTCGTCACGGATCGGCTCCACCGAGGGTCCCACTGGACCATGGAGAGTCCACACACCTGGCAGGCAGTAATCTGCTCTGATACCACTTGTCACCTTGTCCTCCCAAAAGAGCCCTTAAAAGGGTGGTGGGCAGCCTAGGACTTAAATACTGCTTTTCGGCCCTACACCTAGCCAATGTGGGACTATTTGTCCGTGACATACCGCTCTCTATTTTCTTTTACTAACCTGATAACCCATTGTTCAATACCTTTTTTTTTTCCTTCCCCTGCAGTCCACTTTCTCTTTGTCTTTACCACACAAATTGAGTCCTTCCTCTGCCACCATCCATCACCCCTATTCTATCTCCTATCGATTCCCTTTTTCTAGAAAACTTAATTTACACAATTTTTCAAATCTCAACAACAAAAATACCTGTCCATCAACTGCACCCATATCCATGCTACGTCTCATGTATTCATAATCTATTATTTGAATGTTACCTTTTTTTATAGTGAATGAGATTTGCTTCATTATATTTTTTTTGAGGGAGGTAGAATGGGGAGGCCAGGAGGGAGGGAGAAGAAATTGCTTGTTTTGTTGGACATCACAATTAGATCATGTAGTATTACTTTATCATTTCTTTAATTCATACTTTTTTTTTTTTTTTGAGGGATTAGATTGCATCGGTATTTTCTTTGTTTCCTCTTTTTTTTTTTTTTTTTTAAGGGATTAGACTGCATCTGTATTTACTTTGTTTCCTCTTGTTTTGCAGTCTCTTCCTTACTCTGATGCCCTTGTGCTTATGTCTTACTTGAAGAATTGGGTTCAAAACTCTGATAAGGTATTTTTTTTTTTCATGCTCTTAACATGTATTCAATTATTTTTTTCACCAAAATTTTTTTATTTTTTTCAGTTTATTTTTTTTAAGTGCCTTACGATGTTAATTTTTATGCTGATGCCTTTTAAGTCTCTTTTATATTTAATTCTTAGATATTACGCTTCAAAATTATATAGTTCTGATCGTGGCCTTTTATCTGGCTATGTTAGGTTATCATAATTATCATTTTTGAGCTTAGCATGCTGATTTAATGTTCACAAAATTTCTTACAACCAAACACGAACAAATACATAAATACATAAATATATATTGTATGTATGTATATAAATGTATATGTGATTACAAAACAAATGGTTTTATGATCGGTTAATAGTTAAAAGATTCCAATGCACCCAACACAATGAAAAATTATGGGCATCTTAACCGGGGGCTTTATACCTAAAGTTTATGCTAGTTTGCCTACTTAGCCTCCTTGTAGATTCTAGGTTTATTTCAAAATTAGGGTTTCACATCCATCTATAAATTTTCCTATTTCAGTTGGATTACATCAGGGATCGACTTTAAGAGCATATCTTTTTGCTTTAGTATGGATACTCTTACTGGACATTTACAGAAGGATGTACATTGGTTTATGATTGTCACTGGTGATATTCTTTTTATGGATAAAACTAAAGAAAGGGTTTAGGAAAAACTTGAATTATGAAGGTCTATTTTAGAGTCTAATGACTTTTGTTTGAGTAGATCTAAAACTGAATACATGAAATATAATTTTTAGTAGTAGTAGATCTAGTGACAGAGTTGTAACAATAAGTGATCAAAGCATTATCTCAGGTTTATTTTTCAAAGTGATGGAATATAGATGGAGATGTTATTAGTAGAATTCAAGTTGAATGGTTGAAGTGGAGGAATGCACCTATTGTGTGATAAAAAAAATACCGCTTAGACTAAAAGGAAAATTTGATAAGATGTTGGTGAGACCTCCAATGCTTTATGGCGCAAAATGTTGACCTATAAAAAAAGAAGCATAAAACTAAAGTTAAGTGTTGCTAAGATGAGAACGCTTAGGCGGATGAGTGACTTTACACTTAGAGACAAACCGTGAAACGAATATATCCGTGATAGGGTTGTTGTAGCTCTAGTGGTAGAAAAGATTAGAGAGAGTTGTCTTCGATGGTTTGATCACATCAAACTTCAATCATTTGATAATCCGGTTAGGAGAGTAGATGTTTTAGATTCACTTTAAGTTAAAGAAAGGTAGAAGGGTAGACCTACGAGGACTTAGGCATGTTGTATAAAAAAGGATCTTAAATTGATAAATTAAATGATAGTATGACACTCTATAGGACAAAATGGCGAAACATGATTTATGTAGCCGACTCCAGTAGGTTGGATAAAAGCTTTTTGTTTTGTTGTATTTTTAATGTACCACAACATTTTAATGGTCATGGACTTTCATGCATTTAATTTCTTAACTTTTATTGAAGGAATCTTTTTGACATTTAAGCTCACCAGTACTTTGTCACTTGGTTTAAACTTTATATACATCCTATGTGTAGCAATATAAAGCTTATTTATTTTTGGGGGATTATACCACCTGGCTCTATTATATTTACATATATAACACCTAAATCCTATAATTTACATTTCAATCACCTAAAACCTTTTAATAGCCACAAAACTACCACTCGGTTGCCTTCTGTTAAATCGCCATCCCGCCCCGTGCATCTCCCTGACAGTCCATTTGCGTTGCCAACCAAATTAGCTCCTGCTGCCTCCGCTGACTGCCACTATTCTTTGATGCCAGAGATTGATGCCATTGATGCTACTGCTTCCCCTTCTGCTTCATCTTCTCTATTTACCTCCACTTTAATACCTGCGTCTTCTACATTGGAGACCAAGAATTCCTTCAAATCTTGTTTCTTTCAGATGCTTAGGTTTGAATAAATTTTGCTTTATTGCGACTAGTAAGAATATCTTGGTTCTTTTGGGACTTTGAGATTACAAGAATAAGCTTCATCATCATATATGGATTTTCTCTCAAATTTAAATTTTCGTTATTGTTTTCAATCCTTCTATATTTCTGAAATTTGTATTTCTTTCTCCTTGTTGATATCTTTATAAAATAGAGAGCATTTTTAACGTGCTCAGCAACCACAAAATCCGAGGTTGTTAATGAAGCAAAAGAAAAGCTTCAGGTAATCCAAGAAGCTTGTTCCAGTTCGTTCCTCCCTGACGAGCAGCCTGGCTTTGGGAGATTGCAACCGATGGAATAGGAATCTAACTAAAGGAAATGAAGTGGCAGTTTTGAGGCTATTAAAAGCTTTTAGGTGGCAGAAATGTAAATTTTTGGATTTTAGGTGTTAGATATGTAAATACAATAGAATCGGGTGATATGTGGGTTGTGTTGTATTCCCCCCCCCCCCCCTTTTTTTTTTTGAAGGGGCCATTTTTTATGAATATTCTTATGCATTTGTCATCTAAATGTTTGTGTAAAAATAATATCTAAACTTGAACTTTTTTTGTTGAAACATCATGTCAATCTCATATTGGCTAATGCCAGAGGACTTGTTAATTAGATGGATTGTATGTAAACCCACCTATTTTTAATATCAATTTTTACCTAGATGATCATTTGTTAGGCTATAATATATCACACAAATGCCAGAGGACTTGTTAATTAGCCAGAGGCTAAATGATTGTGTAAAAGTAATATCTAAACTCGAACTTTTTTTGTTGAAACACCATGACAATCTCATATTGGCTAATGCCAGAGGACTTGTTAATTAGATGAATTGTATGTAAACCCACATATTTTTAATATCAATTTCTACCTAGATGATCATTTGTTAGGCTATAATATATGACACAAACTGTCATTAAGCACATAAAGTTGCCTATCAATTTGGGGGAGCTAAGCTGTTAAAAATTTAAGTTGTGCTTTCATTGTTTTTCCAAAATATTTTCTAATAGTAATTAATGAATTTTATATCTTTATCATTAACAAATACTTTTTATGACCGAAAAAATTTAACCACCTTATTAAAATGTAATTTAGCATTTGAGATGCATTAGTAATTTTATGACATGTTATATGATTTAACCACATCTTTTGAGCAATAATCTATTAATACAAAGATAGAGTTGTACATTTTTAGGGTTTGTAGCAAATCTAGCACTAAATTTATACTATCATACTACTATGATTTGCAGAAATTTTTCAATGGTTTATATGATCTTGTGCTAGAAATCATATATTATGAAAGAACACCAATAATACTACCACATCTCTTTTCGAGTTAGAGTAATAATATTTATCCCTAGTCATTACTATTGTTTTATATCTCCCCATGTACCTACCGACCAAAATTTAATTACAAATTAGAAAATACCTTAATGGTAAATTAGGAATGCTAAGATCAGTACCCTTAAATTATAATCCATCAGCATATTCTTTTCATTAGGCATGAATGAATTGTTGTTTAAGTTATGATAACTGTCATTAAAATATTTACGAGTGATGTATTCCTCTTTTATATGATCAAAATTAGTTATCTTAACTAACATTGTTTGTAAAATGACAGGAACTCTAGTTAAAATATCAATAGATCTGTTCTTAGTTCTTAGTTCCAACAGAATATCAAATTAGGATAAAGAATATTATTGTATATGCTCAATTTGTTTGTCATTTCCGTCCTCTGTTTTTTTTTTTTTTTTGATAATTCATACATTGAAATGATTAAAATTAAAGTACAAACTCTTTTGATGATAAATAATGCCACTAGTAACTAAGATTTTCACAACTACATAGAATTCTCTAACATAGAGTATTTTTGTTTCACGTCATTTAACTTCTCAGTAAAGCGTCCCTTTCAGCTTAGCACTTCACTAATTATCATGCTAAAGGTCTTGTAAGAAATCTCAATTACCATTTTAAAATCATATAATTTGGATACATGTACATTTGTTAGTCTTTCCTTGATTTCAATGAGAGCACAATTAACAAACTTAATCCATTTCAATGAGAGCACAATTAACAGACTAAATACTTCAACGAATCATCTATAAAAAAATAGCCAAACTATGAATATTCATAAGATCATATATTTTAATAGGTTTTGAGCAATCATAAATTACACAGTTTTCCTCATATTTAAAATATTTTTGAAAAATTTCAACTCCTCCAGTCAACCTCTAACGTTGGTATACTTTTATGCAATAAATGCCATTCACAGAATTATCAATTAAAGCATTCTTAGAACCACTAATCAAACTCATAAATATCATCAAAATCATTGATTTTATCTTCAAGATCCACCACATTGATATATAAATTCCTATTGGGAAAATCATTATGCAATGACCACTATGATGGCTCTTTAAAATAACTTAATATAAATTCTAGATCCATATACTGTTGCAATTAGAAAAACATGTTAAATTGTTTGAATGTAGTGATGCGTCTTTTCTTTTGAAATCAAGTCTCAAACTAAATTTAAATAAATAGAATAATTTTATAGGATCTTCAGTGATATTTCTCAAATTTATTGATATATCTAGCTATAGTTTTAGTTTTTTGTTTTATTGATTAAACTCATCAAGCAAATGATTATGATGTCATGAAGAGAAATATTGCTTTTTTATAATTTATTTCATTTTGACCCAAGTGGTAGTGGATTCCTTTCTCAATATTTAATTTTCTTTCTTTATATTCATCTAATACATTTGGCTTGCCCAGTTAAAATTCTTGTTGCCCAGTTAAAGATCATTAACTTTCAGAAATAATAATAAGATATTTAGAAAAAAAATTAGATAAGGAAAATGCTTATAGATGTAACGGAAATTGAATTCTTCTGTGGTGTAAGGGATGACTTTTGCTGAAGTTAACCACAGTTGCATTTGTACCACATTCAAAATACTACCTTCAACTTCACATAGATTTAAATGTTTATTAACATAAAAGCTAATTGTTTTATGCCTATTATTTTTTTTTAAAGGTTTAGTAAACCTTTGTATATATTTTTGGTTAACAGTAATCAGTTCAATTTGGTTCCAATTTATCCAAAACTCAATTCATAGTAATTTGTGTACATGTGTTGACGGTCAAAAACAGAATAAACTCAATGGATGGTGCAAGCAGCTGCAACACTAGCTACAGTAACCAAAGTAACATATCCACAATTAATTATAAATGGCAAATCTTTTATCCAATTCCTACAAAATTGAATTCAAACAACAAGCAATTTGAACTGTGATGAATTTGAAATCAATTACAGCAGAACTAGCCATTGTCAAGGCCCAGCCTCAAAACTAGCTTAATACTAGGGAATCAAATTAATTGAGAATGCATCCCTTTTTATTAGTTATTCATCGTTGAGATACAGTAACTAAAAATTAACAAATCAAATTGTTTACTGGCTGATTTTTCAAATGAGTTTAAACATTTGGTTCTCAGTCAGATTTTTATTATTTATTTATTTTTTATTCTGCCAATTTTTGGTGAAATCTTTTAACTAAGCTTGTGTTAAACTTTATACAGGTTGCGCTTGTTTGTAGAATTACAACGGTACTTCTCCAGACACATCATAATCAATTGACTACTACTCCTGCTGCCAGGTCTATGTTGGCCGTACTCAAGGATATTCTTCATTCAAGAGTTAAGGTACTCAGTTATTCAACTATATAAGATGACGTGTGTTATTTAAAGTTGTTAATAGATCTAAAAAAAATGGGACGTTTACATTCATACCACACAATTTTTATATATTTACATATCTTACAAGTAGCACCTAAACATTCATATTTACTTGGCTACCACAAAAATCATTAACATCATATCAAAAATACCATCTTGTCTATCTTTTAAAAGTGAAATACACTGTTTCATGCATAGCTTTATAACACCAAGGATTTATAAGTGTAAATATCAATCTTGGGTGTTAGAGATGTAAATACATAAGAATTGTGTGGTATGTATTTAAATTTCCCAAAAAAGTTTTGATGCGTTAGCAACTCAAGTTGTTGTTTGCTCATATGGGATACTTGCCTGATTCAGGAATTCATATTATAAGGCTATATTTAACAGTTTTCTTTTTGTACCATCTTTTGATGGATAGAATGTGCTATTTTTAAGCTCAAGCTTCCAACTCTCGAACAATCTGGCTAAATTTATCCTACTGCGGCCATCAATCCTACTAAAATTTATTTGTATGTTTTAAACAAATTTTGAATGCTGCACAATCCCCGCCCTGCATTTGCAGTGTTGTTCAAATGACCAATAACTTGATGTGGGTTCATATGACACAATAACATGAATGGAGAAGTTCATATAATTAAGTTAATGTTTAAAGCAATTTTAGTTGTGCCCTGTTTGGATTTGACCACTTGTATTGAGGAATTTCTTCGAGGCAATAATGCAATCCTAGGAATTCACGTGAGACAATAACATGATTTTAGAAATTCATATGTGACCAAGTTAACATTGAAGTTTATTCTTTTTGCACTTTCAAAAATATTTTTATTTAACTTTTTTTTTGAAGAAACATGTTATTATTGCATTTAATGTTGCATATGTTATGCGAGCATGCAACTCATTGCAATGGAGCTCTTTTTCTTTCCTCATGTTCATCTTTTAGAGATCATCATTAATGTAAGGCTAGCATGCTTTGTACGAAGTTTCAATCATGGGCACTTTTCTCCCTAAATGTGCCTTCTTCTCTTTTGGATGTATGATGAAACTTGAATCTATTAAATAATCAATGCACTTACACAAGAAAATAATGCAAAAAAAAAAGGACATTTACATACATTTCACCCATTTTCTTTGTATTTACATATCTAACACCTACACTTTACTTTTTACATTTATACCACCCAAATCCTTTATATCACATAAAATACCATCATTTTAACTTTTAAGAAGTGATGCACTTTTTCATGCATAGGTAAGGTGGCGGATATGTAAAAATTGACATATAGGTGTTAGATATGTAAATACATAAGAATTAAGTAGTATATATGTAAATCTTTCGAAAAAAGTTGTTTTGGGCATCACAATGTAGGGCTAAAGATGCTCCAATAAGATGTTACACCTGAAACTAAATCTCGAAATTCATGATACTACAAAAGTTACAGATATTGATTTTTTATTATTTTTTAATTATTTTTTTATTTTTTATGAATGGAGACTGAATAATCATTACATTGATGCCAAACAGTTTGGATACGGGTAGTGATGATGATTGGCTTTCATTTTTAGTAGAAATTACTACTCAAGGCATAATTTTATGATGAAAATCTAAAGTATTATCTTGTTTCTTCAGGAATTTAAGGATACCATTGGGTTCAATATTGCTGCGATGGAGCATCTTAAGGTACGTGTTGCAACGCTAATATAAATCCAAATTACTTCTGCGAGATTAGCGCTGCTTCATCTTTGTTTATTATACCTGTATAGGAATTGATGTCCATGCGATCAGACGCTCCATTCCGAAATGCAAAGGCAAAGCTCATGGATATCCGCCAGGAGCTCTCAAAGCATTCAGGTAAGTTCGTCCATGGGAAGAGGAAAAAGAAAAAACAAAAAATTTTGAATACGGATAGTATTCATTCCTGATTATTATAACTTTAAAAAGTTGATTTGTATAATTATCACATTGTATTTATAATGCCTATTTGCCCCCGTATGGGTACAAATTTTGACAAATATTATATCAAATAGAAAATTTTGTTCCAAAAATATAAGGAAAATTAGTTCCAATTTGTGTTGTGTAATCCTGAACGCCAATGGAGATGAATTCTAGCCAAAAGAACTTTAATTTAGAACACATGAGCTAGCAAGCTATAAAAAAATATCAAAATGTGCTGGAGCTGGGGATTTCTGGTGAAGCTCCAGACCACACACACCACAATGGATGTCAAAGCGTCAGAATTTAACCAGGTTTTCATATGGGGGTTACCTAAGATTTACTGCCATACCTGACATGCAAAAAAACAAAAAAAAGGAATAAATAAATAAATAAATAAGATGCAAGAATCAAGGGAAAAGGGCTATAAATGTAATTTTTTGAGGGGGGTTGGATTGAGACTCCCTCCAGTAAGTATCAACTTCCATATATGTTCCTGATGTAGAATATTATAAGCAAGAGAAATAAAAGTTCTATATACTCTAATATGATTTTGATTGGTGCCTGATGTACAAATTTCTTTTTCTGTGTGCTTGTGCTTGAATGTGTAATATATTAGTTGGAGATAAAATAAAAATTTTTAGCATGCCGGGTTGAAGGGTTTACGTTGTTCGAAAGAAGTGCGGATGCTTGTACCTTACAGGGGGAAGATTTTGTTTAAGTGAAGGTGACAATTCTGCTGTTAACATGAGGGTGTTAATTTTAGTGTCCCTAAGTGTAATAAACTAGCAAGCCAATTTTCTTTGCTGATATTGATCATAAATACAGTTCATCATAATTTAGTTGGGAGTTAACCAATCATATCATGGCTAGGTTGAAGAAGATAAGAAAAATGATTATGATTTTGGCTTCTTTTATGATGTGGAAACTTGAGTGGTATGAATTTGTTGAATTTGAATTTAGTTAAGACCTTGATTTCCCCATGATTGTCAGACCGTTTTCTATTGACTATGAAGGGCTAGATTAGCTCAATTCTAACTTTGTTATTTCTAGTCTAAGTTTCTCTCCAAAATGGATCCACCAAGACTAATTATTTTCTAGGTTGATATAATTTATATCTTTTTAGTTGCTTAAGATTAAATGGCTTAACTTTGGCTTTGATTAAATTAGAATGTGTTCCTATCCTTAGTCTAGTTGGAACTAAAGCAGTCCTAATCCCATGGACCATGACCCTAACTAAACTCAACTTATGTTATTCCTTCATCAAACTTGACCTATGCTTGGCCCAACGCATCCTCTTATTACAAATTGAACAATGACTATTCATTTCACATTAAGTGACATATTGAGCAATGACTTTGATTACTAGTCGTTAAGTTGACTATTCTATTATTGTTAGGCCCATGATATATAAAAAAACCTTGAAGTTTGTATATCACGAATCACAAGGAAATCCAACGGACTAATAGAGAAAAAAGTATGGCCAGGGAGGTCCCATTGAAAGAAAATAAAAAATCTCATAACTAGAAGATTAAAGAATGTGATTGATCAAGTGTAGATTCTTTTGATTGGTACCCGAAGCCGACCGAACCAAAGACCATGATGTATAGAGTCAAGAGATGACATAAACTAAACTCTCATCTCTTCATTTCCAGCCATCTCATAAGAAAATTCAAGATTCTTCATTAGGAGTTCGAGAGTTTATCGCAATATACTCCACGAACACCCCAAAAGATTCTATCATAGGGTAAGCTACATGTCCTATAATGGTGATTCATTCTCTGCTTGAAAACCATTCTCATATTGATCACAAAAGCTCCTCATCTAGATATCGATAGACGACAGCTGGAGCAGAGCAGCTGACCGACATAATCAAGTCGACCAATTCAAGCTCGGCCAAACCAAAGACCATTAGAAAGTATGAATAGTAATTCTCATGATGATATCACGTTGACTCATAGAAGTCAGAACAAAAGGAATATGCAAAATACTGATTGCTTAAGTCTAGCTCATGTTATTGATTTTGTTCATATTAAGACTAGTGATGGAAATTTCATAGCTCGGAATGCTATGTTAGAAATATTTCTAATATATCATACCTCATACTTAGAGTTGATGATGTTACCCTTCAATTTATTTTTCTGTTTTTATTTAATTTCCATTTTTTTATATGTTATCTTAATATTATTGCTTGGAATATTCGCGAGTTTAGTAATGAAACTCGTGTTACATATTATAAAAGTTTATTCATGAGAATCATGCTCATATGATAGAATTTTCATATGATAGAAGGTGCATATAAAACATAAGTTAAAATAACTAAATTTCTAAATGTTTTTTAAAAAGTGGTAGTATAAACCTCCTTAAATAAGGTACAATGGTGACTGGCAAGCATCGATTGTTGGAAGAGATTTCACAAATTTGCTCTTTCATATTTGGGCTTATGAGAGAGGCTCATGACTCACATTTGAATTCTACTGAATGTACTCACCATTTTTAAAATGAGGTACAGTATTGTTTTCCAAGCACAAATTTATGTCTATAAATATCGAGGGAGAGAAGTTACGACAATCGCTAAAGAAAAAATAACGCATGCTATTTGCGTACGGAGTTTAATGTTGGGGGCGTCATTAGTCAAGTGGGTCCCACCAGAATAAACAGGCAGACATTGATCAGTGTTAAAAATGGTGGTGCCCGTTTGACACGTGGCGCCCCACCATTGACTTTGGATGCATGTATGTAATATTTTTTCTTGTTAATTTGATTTTTTTCTTGGAGCTCCCGTTTCTTCGCTAATCAGGCTTTTCTTTTATGTTTTTATTAATTGTTTTTAATATTTTGGTATTAATGTTTAGTGTGTTGTATTGTATGTATTCTTGTTAATCAAATTGTTTTGTTGTTTTTTTACTTTTTTTTTTTTTAATATTATGATATGATTAACCTGATTGATGAAGGAGAGCTTTTTTAAGATTTATTAGCATTTTGTTAAATATATTTACCTTTTTCTAACAGTTTTTTAACTTAAAATAGTACTACTACTAATAATAATAATAATAATAATAATCTAATAAAAAAACTGAAAATTATAAAATAGTATTCATAATTGTTTAGTTAATATTATAATAATCTATTATTTTAAATAATATATAAATTATCTTATATCAATTTTAATATATATATATATATATATATTGGCCGAAATTGGTTTCAAATAACGATTTTGACCAAGTTTTTGTCAAAATCTTCACTCATACGATTGGTCTTATTTAAACCAAAACCCTTTCATCTATTTCTGATAGTTTCTCTGCTAATAAGTTTAGACTCTGAAAAATTAAAGAGGCGTGCATAACTTCGATATTGCTAAAAATAGGCTTACTTGGGTTTAAATTGGTTTGCTCTGTTATTTTTCTAAATCTCTGGCAACCAATTTGAAGATGGAACCGATTTTTTGTGGACTTTCTGCAAGATTATGCCTTTAGTCTAGAGCTGTCAAAACGGCTCGTTGGTCACAATCAGCTAGCGTTTGGCTCGTTAATAAGCTCGTGTTCGGCTCGTTCGCTAAGTTAACGAGCCGAACATATTGTTCATGTTCGGCTAATTTTGACTCGAAATATTACTAATTATATATATATATACCTTTGATGAATATTATTTTTAGAAAATTTAATTGACTACAAGGCTACAAAGATTTATAATCAATTAAAAGTATTAATGAAGAATATAGGATAAAAAATATTAAATTAGATTCAAATGATGTTTTAAATTTTGTCCCAATCCTTAAAATCTTATTGCTACGAGATTAGGGTTGTCAAAATGACTCTTTGTTCCTGAACGGCTCGTGTTCAGCTCACTTCGGCTTCCTAAACAAACGAGCCGAATATATATATATATATATGATGAGTAGTATTTTTAAAATAATTCATTGACTGCAAGGCTATAAAAATTTATAATTAATTAAAAGTATTAATTAATAAAATATAATAAAAAAATATTAAATTAGATTCAAATAATATTTTAAATCTTGCTTCGATCATTAACTTCTTATGACCACGTGATTAGAATTGTTAAAACGACTCTTTCTTCGTGAACGGCTCGTGTTCGGCTCACTAAGCAAACGATCTAAACACGAACACACTTTTGAAATTGAAATATAAACAAACCAAACACGACTTGAACCTGAGCTCGCTCGTGTTCGACTCATTTACAGCCCTATTTCAGTCTCCTATGATTTGTTACTTTCTAGATGAAGCTTGAAATTGAATTCTGCAACTCTCATTCCCTCTAGCTGTTCAGCAAGTGTTTGATGCCAGCTACAATTGTTCTCCTTGTTTTAATAAAACTACACGTGTGTAATATGAACTTGATTAATTAATTAAATTAGAGTTTAAATTAAAGTTACACGAGTCAGCTCATTTTTTAAAGTTTAAATCCTAAAAAAAAAATTGAGTTGATACCTATTATAATAGGTAGCGCTGTCAAAACGACAAGTTTGCGAACAACTCGCCTTTGACTCGTTAAGTAGCTCATAGACCGAAATAAAATTTTGTTTGCTCGTGTCCGGTTCAATTTATATAATTAATGAGTATTACTTCTAAATAATTTAATTAATACAAGTTATAATAATCAATTAAGATTACAAATTAAAGTAGACTAAAAATAAATTAAATTCTATTTAAATGAATATTTTAATATAAATAATAGGATCTAAATGTTGCTCTACCATTAACATTCTACAGCTGAAGATTAGAATTGTCAAAATAACTTATTGTTCGTGATACAATTGAGCTAAACAAGAATAAATTTTTGGAGCTCAATACATAAAATAGCCGAACACTAGCCGAACATGAAAAATAAATTTTTTTAATAAGCAAAGCCGAAACTCGCTCAAGCTCAACTCATTTGCATCCCTGACAGGTGTACGTGTGACTAGGGCTGTTAAAACAACTCTTTGTTCGCGAACTGCTTGCATTCAGGTTGCTAAGCTAGCGAGCTGGAGATTAACACAATTTTGTATTTGAAATATAAATGAGTCGAACAAAAATATTTATATTTTTTAACGGCCGAAACACGAGTTGAGCGCAGGCTCCCTCATGTTCGGCTAGTTTACAAGACTAATAATACAATAATAGAATTAAAAGCACAAAAAAAAAAAATCAAAAGTCAAGAGAAAATAAAAAATAAAATATTGATAATAAACTTCATTTAAAATTTTAATTCTACTATTCTTTTAAATATACTGCAAATTAATTTTTTTTTAAAATGGGCAGACTGCAGCAAACAGACTTAAATCTAAAAACACAAGAAAAATCGCTCATTTGCCATCTTTCACACACAAGAAACACAGGAAGACACAGATAAACTAGTCTAGGGTTTACGAAATCCCTAAATCTCCAGCTTCATACCGCTGGAACATCCCATCATTCATCAAACACACGGTAATCTCCACAATCCCCAACCTCTCCACCCCAGATCTCAACCAACTTTAACCTCTATGGTCTTAGGTTTCTTCGGCTCCGGGGGAGGCTTTTTCTCCACCGTCACCGTAAGCACTCCTTCCCGGCAAACCGCCGAGATGGCATCCAGGTTGGCATTCTCCGGCAATGGAAACTTTCTCATAAATTTCCCCATCCGGCGTTCCATTCTCAAGTACTTACCCTCCTTCTCCTCCCCTCGCTTCCTCTCCCCGCTCACAACCAGCACGTTCCCCTCTTCCACCTCAACTTTGATCTCGCCGCTCTTGATCCCCGGCATATCGATCAGGAAAACGTACGCACCTGGTAGATCCTTCACATCCGCCGGAGTTGCCGCCATGGCCTTGCGGTCTCTGACGTATGCTCTTGTCTGTGGGTTGTGGGTTTTCTCCATATCCTGATCAGGAGTGTCCATCAGGTGATAGATCGTTGTCGTTAGGAATGGATCATAGAAGAACTCCATGTACAGTTAGCGAACTGTGGTTATCGATTTGAGAGATACTTTCTTCTCTATTGGGAGTGAAGAAGAAGGGAAGCAGGGGGTATCTATGTGCAGAGATGGAGGAGGAAGAGAGAGGTGCCCAGGGTGAATTCGCGCGACATTGAGAAGAAGGAAGAAGGGTCCGGAGACTCTGGAAGCTTCTAGTTATTCCCTTTTTCTTTTAATTTTGAAAATATAGTAAATTTCTCAAATATTGGTGAAATATTTTAACTCCATCCCACTTTCTATATTTATAGATATATAATAAGTGTATGCACGAATTTTGAGAAATTTAAAGAACAAAAAGGAACACGGCTGAGGAGGGCCCACAACTTAAATATTAAGAACTCATAGATAGAAAACCAAGAGCCCACGATCATAAAGCCAAATGTCCATTAGCGAAAAACTAGGGGTTCCGAACCAGAAGACTTAAATATTTACTAGCGGAATACTGAAAGATCTGTCTGACTAGGTGCAACAGCTCGAAGTCGGAGTCGAAGGCCAACCGAGGGAGGGCCATTCAAACCCGAGCCTATTGAGTCGAGTGGAGGGCATTGACCTGCCTCTTGCCATAACCTTATTCAATGGAAGAACGCAACACCGCCTATTATGTCACAGGCGCCCATGAGAACCCTCATTCAGGGCTAATAAATATCCATCAAATAAGTACATGGAATCTAAAAGATTTCTTTTTCAATGACTAAACTTACCTATCGAATTACGGTGATTCACCCTATGTTAGATAGCCTAACCTTGCTATGCCAATCAATAGTCGACAATTAGATTAGTGTAGCCGACTGACAAAACCAAACCGATCAAGTCAAGCCTCGACGACCAAAAGACCATAGAGGTTTGGCAAACATGACTCAATACGATCGAATGAACAAATATTGTCGAACCATGACCAATTTATCTCAACCGACCGAATCATATGGTAGTTGAACTAAAGAATTACATATATGTAAAATACCCAAAATATTTTGTAACACCCCCATTAAATCAAAGATAGATATGTAATTTCATATGTCGTACTCCTCTCCTATAAATAGGGGAATTATTTTCTCAGAAAAAAATTAATCAACAATTCAAATTAGTGTTCATTACTCTCCCTCTCCATTCTTACACTCCATTCCTTGTGTGTGATTCACAGACAAACTCAGAATTCAACAACATGCAACATACTTACAGATAAAATGATGTTTTTTTTTTAAAAAAAAATTAAAAAGATGATATTTTATCTCATACCAAAGATATATATATATATATGATAAAAATGTATAAAGTATTGTTTAGTTGGTAAATATGTAAACATTGTGTTGGTATGATAATGGAAGATGAATGCTGAATAATTGAGGGATATGCATGCAATAATCATGGTTCCACAGTTTTACTTTCAGGGTGGGGGACAAAATCATCAAATTTTTAATTTTTTAATGTATTGGGCAAAAATTATACTTGAAAGGGGGCAAAAACTATCAAATTATCTAAACTACATTTGAAAAACACTATAGAATTTTGTTTTTATAGAGAAATCTCATTTCAGGGGAGGCACTTGTCAAAGGTGAACATAAAATCTGATTCCAACTTTGATATAGGACGACTTCAAATAAGACAAACTTCTGCTTGGTATGCAAGAAAATTGTAGCATGAATCTCAAAGCGATCGAATGGTCAAAGATTACGTGGATAATCAAAGCGTTGGGCTTAGAGAGCATGAACTGAGTGCTTTCCCTCAGCAGGAACGATCGCCACGCAACCGATCGCCTTAGACGATCGAACTCGAATATGTCAATTTGTAGATAGTTGCCGTATTTCATTCAAATTGTAGCACAAATTTTATATCAAATCAACACATTAATTACATTAAGTGCAATTTTCATAAATGTTCCATTCTTTTTGTAATTATACAAATAGGTTCCTATAAGTTGGGGCTAGAAGAAGAATAAAAGGATTTTTCCCCCGACTTCTTTATTCAAAATTCTCTACTAAACTCTCTCTTTCCCGTTCTCTCGACTAACTATTGAGGCGTGTAATTTCGGAGGACAAATTCGGATTCTAACACCATAAGAAAGTCGTGCAACGAGTGTGGACATGCCCCAGATGAGAAGTAGATCGAATTACGAAAGAGAAATTGCACAGAGAGACATAGCATCCATTAAATTCAATAAAAAGATGGTGCGTCGAGACATTCGGGAAGAGGTCCAGGCACTACGGGCGCAGATGATGAACCAGTTAGAAGCCTTCCAGGCGGTAATGAATTTGAGGTGTGATTAACTGATGCTCTTGGAAAGAGTCTTAGGAAACTCGCTCCCAAAGAGTTTCTTGCGAGAATCCGCCTGCACACGACAGTCAGGCTGACGATCAACCAACCAAAGGGCAGGGGGACTCCCAACTAGCAAAAAGTGCGACATCAACGCCAATCATCAAGCACCGGGCGGATCAAGGAGCACCAGCCAGACCAACTATAGGCAGCACTTTCTCTCGGCAAATCATAGGGACCAAGCCCCCAACGAAGTTAAGGATTCCTCTTTTAGCGACCCAGTCGACCACGTGGTTTTTTTCGAGTCATTGATCGGGGTGCTGCAGATCGATGATGCTATGAAGTGTCAAATTTTTTTGACTACGCTAAAGGAGGTTGTGCTTATGGAGTCATCCAATCCTTCTACGAGTTTAGAAAGCTCTTTTTGGTGCACTTCGGCAATGTGCAAAAACCAATGAAAGATATTGAGACTCTTCTCTAGATCAAGCAGAGAAAGAATGAGAGCCTATGGGCATATACATCATGCGCTTTTAGAAACAAATGCTAGAACTAAAAAAAAACCCAGAGCCTCTCATCGTCGGGACCACCCTGAAGCAGGGAATCCACAACAAATGATTTGGGTACAACCTAAACTTACTCAAACCAAGATTTTTTGTCGAGGTCTTGGAACTAGCCAACAACGGGGATGCGAGTGTCAGGCGGTCTTTCAGTCCGACCATTCGCTAAATGGCCGGAAGGAAACGATCCCACTCTAGGCAGCAACCCTCGAACGGATAAGGTGCACACTGGTAGCGTATCGTCAACTACTTCAAGGGGGTGACTCATCTGTTTGTGGACAGAATTTCCAACCAGTGCGCTATCGAGTTCAACTCCTCCCCATTAGCTCCTTGGGAATTGGCTAGCCTTTGACGACATCTGTCGAACGAAAGTAGTACACTCTCTAAGGAAGTGTTTCCATCGCAACTTTTCCCCATGGGTCATTACACCAGTTCAAGAGGTGGGAAGACCTCGATAGTCCACCCAGTTTGGTTTCGCGTTCAACACCCGACTCAGAGGAAGCCCCTTATTTCGACACTTGACTTGAAGAAAAAAAAAAGTAGCGCATGGCCCAAGCGAGGCCCATCGCCCCTGCCATTGGAAACTCACCTTCACATCTGATTCCTCGCAAAATCGGTCGGCAACCTCCGCTTCCCCTTTTATAGGAGGATGAGGTCAGCGATTCTAATAGTGGTCTCCTGACAAAAGCCTACCAAGAATCCACTAAGAAAAGACAATTGAGCACAGAGACCGGACAAGTCAATGGCTGATTTTACCAAAAAAGGAAACAGAAAAGGAATCTCATGTTGCAATCAATGCAGCCTTTAATACTGCACCACCAGAGCCACGTAATGAGGTGATGACGTTGGAATCATCGTAACGGTCAACGGTCATTTCCCCACGCTAGGAGAACTCGATCCGATTGAGTGTGCTATAGGATGGTCGGATTACTTGGCGGACACACTCAAAATAAGTGGGGGTAGCCAAAAATTGCATCCGATTTACCTATATATATATATATATTTATGTATGTATGTATGTATCCATAATATTTTTAATTCCCCCTATGGAAGTCTCAATTGGTTGGGTTTTAGATTTTCTATTGAAATAATATTATCCATTATTTAATAAGAGATATTCTAAGAATTACATGTTTGTTTAATTTATTCACATCTTTAAGATCATGGATGGGAGTTCAAGCAAATGAACAACAGTAAAAATCACACCCATTAATATTTAATCAAGGCTCTCCACTAATTACGTTTTATTTGGAACAACCAATAATCCATTGAACATTTTCTAACAATTACTCAGATACACAGTTCTCATTTTTTCTGTTTTTAAAAGGCAGAAGAATGCAGCAAGGCTACTTTGTTCTTCTTTTCTTGAGGTCCAAATGACTCGGGATGTCTCAATTGCTTTAACTTTTTAATTTGAGTGAACTGATGCACAAAATGGTACTTAGATCCTCCTATTTATTATAGGAAAGTTTTTTGTCTCCACCAACCGGAAAAATCCTTCAACATCATTAGTAGGAGAAAATATTCCGTCCGGACACAGTATGTCTGTACGACCAACCGACGTCATATGTTTTCCAATATTAGGGCTTCGAATCGGACCTCTACATGCTCTCTTTTGCAACGCCTATCCTGCAATTCTCACCGCTGATATTACAGTACTCTCTTTGAAGGTTAAAACATTTAGGGCTAAAGTAGATGATTTAATAGATTTTAGTCTTTTGCAATTGCAAGAAAGAAAAAAATAAATAATAAGTTCAAGCTCCGGGAACTCACACAAGTAACAAATGCAAAATAATTAAAAAGATAGATTTACTTGAGAGTTAGTATATTCACTATAAATGGAGTAACGATGAACATATTAGCTTCAAAACTAAATTTCTTTAGAGTTGAGTAGATACTTTATCTACTGACATAGACAAGATCAAACTCCTCTTAAAATGGCTGTAATTTGATAAGCAAATAGCTAATTCAAAAAAATACAATATGATCAACTGGATCAGGTCTCCTCCTATAAGACTCAAGGGATGACGAGAACTTAAATTTCTGTGGAGTCTCAGCTTCTACAATCTCTCTAAGAAATGCATTTCTCAATAGCTGCCTCTCTTCTTGTCTTCCTTTTCCTCTCATATGATCAAGAAGGAGAAGAATCTTCAATATCAAAATAATACAACTCTTCAGTCAAAGATGACAATAGACAGCACTTTGTTCTTGCCATTAGTAATCCTTCTTTTCAAATCACCAATTATGAAAAAGAAGATGATATTTAAACTCTGGTTGTTACTCTCAGCACATGTTAGAGTACTTCATGAATCATTACTATTATCTGCTTCTTTGAGTTCATCCCCTGATCGATAAACTCTTTGGTACCTTCCATATTATTCATAAAATCAATCTTCTCTAATGTGAACTTCTACTAATGTTAGAAGCCCATCTTTTAATTTATATAACATGATTCATGCTCACCATTTCTTAAAAAGAAGTTAAATCCTAAATTTTCAGGGATTTCATATAAGAGTATCAAATAGAGTTTGTAGGCTGAGTTCGAGTTTGACCCAAAATTAACTCAGCGCGACTCAACCTAAAAATTAAACGGGTCGGAAAGTCCAACAACCTAACCCACCGACTCGAACCCAACTCATATCACCCGTTTAGCATAAGACATAATAGCCATTTGAGTCAAATTTAGATCAAATTCAGGTTAATTTCATGTTTATCTCAGTCAGCTTCAGTTTGACGTCAATTTTAATTTCTAAGTTAATTTTCAAGTTGGTAGGTCAATTCTAATCCGAATAAAAAGAGTTAACAGGTCATAATTATTCTACCAGATTTCTATGCTGAGTAAAATTTCCTCTAGTCTATCAAATCGATCTGCCAATAGCATCTGCTTAGTTGAGGTGCGGTAAATATATCAAACAATCCAGCAGAACTTTATGATTTAATTGCCACCTTATGCCTTTTCAAAATATTCTCAATCTAATGATAGAATGATATTGGTTACATACTTTTAAGTGCTACAAGTCATTTAAATTATACTTAAATAATTTTAATATTTATCATGCCACAATTCAGCTTTTGAGCAAGCAGACGCACGCACACATACTTCAAGAGGAACTTCAACAAATCCACACACACATCTTAAACTGAATAACTTCAATGGGAACTTCAACAAGTCCAGATACATGGAGTTGTGATAATGATCACATTTTAGAACAATGAGCTTTCACTTTAAAAGGATTTATTGAACCTTCCACATGCAATTCAAGTGATCAAGGATAAATCCTATGCAATATTTTCACATTTTTTGAATTTATAAAGCAGCTGATCGATCACTATAACTTTTTGGAATGAAACGAGACAAAGCACAGTTATATTAAATATAAAACAGAAATACAAGTGAAGAAACCAAATAGAATATATCAAAAGAAAAGAAGCAAAGCAGCATTTGAAATCAGCACCTGCAAAAAAAAAGGAAAAAAAGGGACTAAAGAAATTTCAGACACATGTTTGACCTGTTCAAGGATAAGCTTTGGCCGCAAAATCTGCACCTGCACAAAATAAAACTGCAACACAGAGAGTGATTAAGTTAAACCCGGAGCTCAGAAGAACAAAAGTCAGATTGAAATCAGTTAATTGCAACAAGGTTAAACCATCTCATTATTATACCAACAATTTAAAAGAAGTTGGCCTCAAAACACGAAGAATTCAAGGATTTGCCAAATCTCACAGGCAAAATAAAAAATGATAGCCAACATGAGACTTTTTCATGATGAAGTTATAATAGAGATGCTGCCCAGCAAAGCAAAACCTCCACACCTGGGAACCTTACCAAGACCATATCTTCATTACAATTTTTACTTCTCCTCCAGCTTCATTTCATATGCTAAACTTGCCACTTTTAATCTGATGAACTAAGCTGATCAATCTCAAAATGGCTAATTGTAATAAAGGAAAGATTTGTGACTTGGGCAACAAATTCTCTGAGAACGCTTACCATGATTGAAATCGCATCTGCAATAGAAGTACAGTGATGGGTATCTTTCCCAGTTGCAGTTTTGCAAAAGGGTGAGACCTTCCCCAGTTCAAAATGCCCATGCAGCTCACTCCGAGAAGCTAGCTGGAACAAGTGAAGATCTTTACAAAGGGCTTCATGGCTAACCCGGCAACACCAACTTTTAATACGCTTAAATAAAGAGGTTAACAAAACTGAAATTTTCTATAAAAAAGAAGATAATTTACATGCTTATAAAAATATTAAGGGGGTGTTTAATTCACTAATATATTCTATGTTACGTTATTTACAGGAACCCAATCGGTTGACAATTGTGTCAAAGATGTCTAATGAGAAAAAAAAAAAATAGACAAAAAAAAAACGAATCAAACGCACACAGGGTTGCCCAAAATGAGAAGCTTGCTTGAAAAAGATGGCATCAAACCAAGGACTCTACTTGTAGCGTGTAGTTTTAATAGATAACATTCTTTTAAGAAGATTAATACAACGATAACACTATAAATCATATAAAATTGAGCAATAAAACCATAACAAATCCGAGCAAAAGAATGACCAACAATAATTATAGTTTGGTGTATTACATCTATCAGATGGTACGCTTTTCGATTTTGAAGTCTAATATAGGCAAATAGATTATTTTAACTTGTACAATAATTTGGCATCAAATGAAGCTGGACCAAAGATTTCTTAGTAAGACAACTGCATACTCACTTCAAGTAGAAATTATTCTGGGCACAAAAATCAAATTAAAAAAAGCAGCATTCCCTCACTTCCCTTTCTAGACATAAATGATTTTATAATTTATTGACATTTTCTGAGCCAATCAATTAAAGATTAGTTTGTGGTAAGCATAAACTACCCTTTTCAGGAACTATGATATTCATTAATTTCTTCGCTCACCTTCATAAATAGACTTGTTTGTGGATGCATAGCTCAACAGAGATTTTCACACAGCTAGGAATTTAAGAACCAAACGGTAGACGCTGCCTTCACTTAATCACTGCTTCACCTCTCTGCATTTCAGCCCAAGATTATAATCAGATGCCATGAGGAAACATGACTTCCAAACTTTATCAAACAATAGCTAAGCTGTAGCATAATAGGTTCAACCTTATGCTTCAAAAATGCATTTAAAGTGTGGCAACAACCACTAATGACAGAAAGAAAGCTAGTCCAGGTGATTGGGGGAATTTATTTCTACCCAAAAGCCAAAGGCTTTTTCAACAATACCGTGTTGATTATCCAAACATTTCATTGAAAAACATTCTCTATTTAGCAAAGGATGAAGAGGTAACTACCAAAAAATATTATGTCAAAGCTTGAACATTTGTCAAAGGTTATTTGATCAAATGCTTTAATATTAAAAATTCATAACCAATAAAAGGGAGAACAATAGAGGAACTGTGCTAAAAGTTGCCTTTTCATTCTCCAAGCATAGCTTCAAAAGGTGCAGGAACAGCAAAACTAAAGATTGTATTCGCTGATTGGTTCTTGGAAAGAATTAAGAAAATGCAAAAGTAAGTAAACATGATTATGCTGTCATGTACAATACTGCATGTACAACTGAAGCTCTATTTAAAAACCAAATGATCATTAGTGATGATTTTATAGTCCTGTATCAACTTAGGAACAACCATGAACTCAAAATCATTCACACAAAACCCAGCCCACAATGATAAAACTTCGTTGAAGCACAGGACCAATAGAAAAAAAATAAACCATTGTTTTCTGCTGCGAATTTAAATTTAAAGATAATAGGCATTAAAAATTGTTCAAAAGTTCTACCAAACATAACCACATGAATGAAAGAAATTGGATCAATCGATATATTTATAAACATAACCACAGAAATTTACTAATTTATATCAACATATGAACTGCATGGGATCAGAAATTGGATCAATTGATATATTTATAAATAAGAGAACGAGAGAAGACAGATAAAACATCATTCACAATGTCTAATTCAAAGAGTTACCATCTAAAGGACGGAATATTTGCCAGGCTGTGCAGAACCAGGAAGAGAAAGAGATTGAGCAGTGTAATCCTCAAGCACTCTTTTCAACTCCGCTTTTGCTTTCTTAACAGAAGACTCAGTGGGACCTTCTATGAATAGATATAGTTTGCGTTCCATGGGACCGGGAAATTTCCCAGGTGGGTAATACTGGCCCCTTGTGGTAATTGCAGCTCCTGTCCAGTCTGATATTGGACCCAAGGTCTCCTTATGGGTAACTTTCCACCGGGCATTCTGTGGGAATTCATTGATCTCCAGCTCTGCCTCATAGTGCTCTGGCATTGCATCAGCTTGTATCTTTGCTAAATTGTGCTGCAAGTTCATGGCAGCTGCAAGGGCAGCTGCCCGGGCAGCAGCATCACCAGGTAGAGATGCAACAGGCAGTGTTCCAACAACTGGGAAGCCAGCTAAAGCAGGCGCGATTGGAACATGTACACCTGAAGTAGAAAGCAATTGCGCTGGCACAACTGTGGAAGGCATTGAAGAAATACCAGCCTTTGCAGCCTGGGCAAGAGCAGCAGCTTGAGCAAGAATGGCAGCTTGAGATAAATCACCTCCAGCTTTTCTAATACCATCATCCTCAGAGTCTGAGTCAGATTTATCTTCTTCAAATCCATATTCTCTTGCCTGAGCCTTTTTCGCAGCTTTACTTGCTTCATCTTCTTCTTCATTGAACTTGAAACCACTTCCACCATAGCCAGTACCATGTGCTTGTTCCATGCCCTCTTTAACCTTTGCCATGAAATTATCAGCAAGTGCCTTCAGATCCTCAGGAACCGCTTGTTCAGAAAGTTCCAGCGCTTTTACAAGATCTGGTGCATACTTGGCATCATCCTCAGAAATGAATGTGATGGCCATACCTTTACGGCCAGCTCGGCCTGTTCTACCAACTCGATGTACATAATCTTCGTAGTGATTTGGAACATCAAAATTCACAACTAGCTCAAGCTCCTTCACATCTAGACCTCTGGCAGCAACACTAGTAGCAATCAGAAGGTTGCAAACATTGCTCTTAAAATCTGAAATGGTGGACTCCCGGTCTGTCTGGTCCTTGGCCCCATGAAGAGAAAGACAAGGATAACCGTGCTTAAGTAAGTCCTTGAATAAGGAATCACATTTTTCTTGAGAGTGAACAAACACAAGGATCTTTCCCTTTTCATACCATTCTCCTAACAGTTCTAGAAGCCTTAAAAACCTGTCTGTTTCTTGTCTGACCTCAACTAATTGGGTGATGTCTTTATTGACAACACTTCTTCCTCCCACCTGGATTTCAACCGGCTTATTCAGGACCTTTCGGGCTAATATCTCAACCTGGCGGGGAAATGTAGCTGAAAAGAGTACTGTTTGACGGTCCGGTCGAGTATTTTGAACTATCCTTGTGATCTGAGGTTCAAATCCCATATCAAACATTCTATCAGCCTCATCCATAACAAAGTATGTAACCTTTCGAAGGTTGGTTATCTTCCCAGCACTTGTGCAGAGTATATCTATCATTCTACCAGGAGTGCATACAACTATTTCTGCACCACGTTTTAACTCACTTATCTGCTGAGCAACACCTGATCCACCATATACAGGGACACAGTTGAAGCCCAAGACCTTAGAGAACCTTTTAATGTCAGTGTGTATTTGTTGGACAAGTTCCCTTGTAGGAGCCATTATAAGTGCAATAGGACCATCACCAGGTACAACCGGAGGTTGATCTTTAATATGTCTCAACATAGGTAATACAAAAGCTAGTGTCTTACCTGAACCAGTCTTTGCTACTCCAATGCAGTCTCTGCCACTCATAATAATGGGCAGAGCTTGAGCTTGAATAGGCATAGGCCTTTCAAAGTTTAGCTTTTTAATTGTATCTAAAATTTTGCTAGTTAAGCCACTCTGGTTCCATGTTTTAATAGGCTTAGGGATATCTTTTCCATGTACTTTTAATTCAAGTTGTTTTCTATACGCAGCAACATCATCAGGCGTCATCTTTGCAATTTCCTTCACTTCAATATAAAAATTTTTCCTGAAAGGCGAGTACTGAATCTTAGAATGATCAACGATGGATAGCTTCTCAGCTTTTGTCTTCTTCACCCTTTTCATAAAATCCTCATCATCTTCATCTTCAGAAGCAATGTCCTCATTTCCAAGATCCTCATCCTCAGGGGCAGAGTCTTCATCAGGAATTATCCTCCCCAATGGATTTTTTCCACCTTTTTTTGCTTGGACCCCATTACTAAGGACTCCCTTATTCCTCTCTTGTGAGCCCAGGTTTGCATCAACAGAACTCACCTGTGCACTCTCCTCACTCTGCAGTTTCTCCACTTCAGGCAGCACCATGGAATTCATGAAAGCATCAAGTGGGTCAATTTCATCCTCCACATCAACGCCATCAATACCATTTGGCACAGTACCTCTAGTTTCCTTCTCTATGTCCATTGCATCACCATTGGCATCATTCTGCCTGGAACCCACGTCTATAGCCATTGCATCACCATCAGCATCATTCTCATACTTCACTGCATCTGCTTCCTCATCATCGGACTCCCCATCAAGAGTCCAATTTTTACCAGTCTGGTTAAGATCCTCACCATTTACCTTCCCATCCTTTTCTCTTTCCTGCTCTTCTTTCTTTCTTTTAAGCTCTTGCCACTCCTGAACTCTACGCCGCCTCTTATCCATCTCCTCATCCAATTTGCGCTGCTCTTCTTCTAGATCTTGCTCTCGAGTCTTTCTCTCCTTGGCCTCAGCTTCATTATCATCCCCTTTCCTGTGAAGATCTACGCTTCCTTCTCTATGCCTGTTGCTTCGCTCTCTTTCCCTTTCATGAGATTCTTCTCTCCTCCGCCTCTTCCTGTCATGATCCCTTCCTTCCTCCTCATCTCTTTCTAACTCCCGTCGCTTCACCCTTAGCCTCA